ATTGATAGGTGATTCATTCACTGAATTTCACTGACATCGACTTATAATCGAAATGAATCAAAATCACGTTGATTCGTCAAACAGATGGCTATCACAGCATAAGATATTCAACGAAATAAAACCTACTTCAAAAACTAATATAGGTTTTACACGTATTTGATTGAACCTCTAAATACCAAAATTGACCCTGGAAGATAAGACTAGATTTTCTTTATTAGGATAAGTACTTGGTAGGTACTATGAAAAAGTTTGAATTGAAAATTCGAATGAGGAAGTATTTAAAAAAGAAAGCACTAAAAAGCACCTCACTAGATGGCTACCCTAGCAAAAGTTGATTTTTGCAGGAAACTAATGGACCACAGATTGTTATTTGCCGATTGAAATTGCCGATTTGTACTGAAAATCAAAATTGACTATTTTTAAATTTTTTACAATATTATTTAATCAAAATAAATTTATTATCTACCTATATATTTCTGTCATCTAATAGGAAGGTCAATTATGCCTTTGCAATAGAACTCTGAGGATCTAGACTGCACAAACTGTGTGAAAGCATTTTGTACTGCCTCCTGGGAAGATAACTTCTTGTCACGTAGATAATTGTCCAAATCACGAAAAAAATGGTAGTCCGTCGGAGCAAGGTCTAGCGAATACGGAGGGTGACGAATGGTTCCTAACTGCAGTTCCTGAAGGGTCAGGTCGTCGGGTCGGTTTCTTGTGCTGTATGAGGTCTCGCGCAATAATGGTGAAGATCGATTCATGAGTCGGGGCTGTTTAACTGCAGTTTTGCCAACATTGTTCTGAGTTCGACACAAAGACATCTGCCGTTATTACTTGACCAGATCGGAGAAAATTATAGTGAATAACACCTTTTTATTGGTTAGTTTTGCTTTAGGACACCGTTGTGGCGTTCGACCTGGGGTCAGCCAGTGCATTTTTCTTGTACAGTTATCATAAAGAAACCGCTTTTCATCACATGTCACAATTCGATCCAATATTCCTTCATTTCTGTACCGATTCAACAAGGCAACACAAGTTTTAACACGCGTTTTTTACTGCAGATCAGTCAAATCATGGGGCACCCATTTTTCGTATTTTTTATTTTATTGATTTGACGCATATGTATCAATATTGTGGGTAAGGTAATGTAAACCATGCCGCTAATTACTGGATAGTTTGACTAGGATCGGCTTCCACCTTATTATTTTAATTCATCGATATTCACCTGTGTGGACGGTCTTCCTCGTAGCACGTTCTTCAAGTCGAAGTTTCCATCACGAAAGCGTTTAAACAAAATCGCACGGTGCGTTCGTTAGCCGACCCCTCTCCAAACGCAACATTGATATTGCGGACTGTTTCTGCTGCGTTACTTCCGCGTCTAAGTTGAATAACCATAGAAAGTCGATATTCAAATGTATCACAATTTTTAAAAGAAGACTATCATAGAAACCAACCAAGCAATGAAAGTTTCTTTCGAAAACCTCAAACCTCATGGTTTCTTCATAGATTATATGTCAATTCAAGGAACCTATTACAATAAAACGGCAATTTCATACTAAATCCCTAATATTAAAAAATTGAAATTTAGCAAAGTTCTAAACTATATCAATAAAAATACGAAAAAGTACAAATAGATTATGACTTGTTTATTTAGTTTTGAAAATTAATTTACTTTTTATTATAATTATTAAAGAAAACCGGAAAGGTTGTCATAAATAAACCAAGAAAGTACTGTAGCGACATCTAGTTTGATTTTGGTAACTATTTTTTTTTTAAATACAGGAAGTATTGACACTTTCGTATTATCAACACAAATGTTGGCAGTTTTTCTTTAAGTTCTTGGCGGTAATAAATTGCCTTTATCACTGTTGACCTAGCCACGTGTTTCTGCGGTTAACTGTCAATTAACTGTAAATTATAATGTATGTCTCACACGTTTAATGTTAGTAAAGCATAGGTTAGGTTATTGGTAAGCTAGTTAGGTCTATTATTCAATATGTAGGAACCATAATGGTAAAAGTGTTGTCCTACAGGATAATCGTCTCCCTCTGAGCTAGGCGTTGTTAGCCCTCGCGCGGTATATGGCTTTCGGGCCGATCCCGCGCATCGGCTCCCATGAGAAGGACATCGCTGAGTTTTAGTGGGTAAACTTCTGTTTCTTGTCTAGCCCCTACGGGGGTGGGGCCACAGGAGGAGTCCCACATCACCCGTGAAGCCCGCGCAGGGTGCCCGCGCAGGGTGAAGCGGGTATGCGTAACGCATTTCTCAGCGTCAAAAAAAAAGGCGTTGTTAGCCCGGGGACCGCGGTCCAACCGATGTAGATTGGACATTCTATTAATTCGATTTGGTAATGAAAGTTATTGTGGGCGATATAGGTTTCCTTTGTTCTAAATGACTTGTCGTATCTTAATTAAAGGTGTATAGCGCCATCTTGTTACTGGGTATTGAAAGTTTTTGCAGTTCGTCTTACTATCGATTGTTGTGACGATGCTAGGGTTCTTACTATTAATTGTTGTGGTGATGTTAGTGCGATGTGTGTGTTAGATGTCGCTACGTATCAGTCGCCACATAACTTTTCCTCTAGACCGAAAGTCGATCCTTGTGGATAGTAGGTGGTATGCAGACAGTACTTCAGAGCTTGCAAGTGCCAAGATGTGACGTCGGGACCGAAGCTGCTGGTGTGCAGGGCTGCCACGCCGGGGAGTAACGAGTGTGAACTGTGAACTAGGGACCGGTCGTGGGCTGCGAGAACCAGGTCGGGATGATGTCGTAGGGTGTTGCCAAGGAAGGAAGCATCTTCGATACTGCTGTGATGGACCTTGATGTTGGCTGGCTTACTACTATGCTACTGAACTGGCTTGACCTGATGAGGGGTAAGAGGCTGATGGTGAAGGGCGCGCTGTTATCCTGAAGGTTGATAATGTTCTACTGGTGTTACTGCCGGCAGGTGGATGCTGATCACGTTGGTAGAAGATCACGTCAATTGAAGATCACGTCGGGGTGACACGTAGCGACATCTAATGCATCGCACTTACATCGCCACACCGATCAATAGCAAGAAGCCTAGCATCGCCACAAATGCAAGCAAACAAACTATCAAATCTTTTCTCTTTATAATATTGGTATAAACTGGGTAGAAAAATTTTGTCATTAAAAAATAATCAGAATATTTATTGATGTCGCGCATGTCAAAATTTCTGTCACGTCACGCTTTTAAATTCTCTTTGGTTACACTGACGTCTCAAAACTATCATCATTAAATTAATAAAAATTAACTTTCCGCATAATGTTTCTAATCAGGCTTTAGCGAAAATTTGTGACATTTTATCCTTAAATGAAACACTTTATAATTTAGACAAGAGATTTTTTACTGAAAAGCGTTACCAAAAAGTCACGCATTGCCTCTTTGATCTCGACGGAACAATACTTGGTTAGTTATCATTGCTTTAAATAACCTTACGAACTTCGTGATGCCTGAATACTTATACTGCATATTATCTTTTGCCTGGGTCCTCGTTCGTATGATAGTTACTACAATTATCGAATTTTGAAACTTTCATCTCTAACTTCATCCCCTTCAACATCTTTCCTTTCAAAAGGTCGTCTCAAAATATTTACTTTTATAAACTACTCAATACTTTCATTAGATTGGGTTTAGATTAGACGTGATGCCGTAACAGACAGAATTACTTCCACATTTATAGTAGGTATTAATTTAGAATTAGTTGCCAATAAATGTAGCTATTGTGAAATTTTCGAAATCGCTTCAATAGTTTTAAGTTAATCCCAGTAAATGTATGGTTCATATATTACCCGCTTTTCGCGCAACAGTTCGCCCGCGTGGTCCTGTATTACACTTTTCGATACTTTTGGTTTCAGTTGGCGTATGTATAAACCAAAAAACGACTTTCAGGAGAGTCAAAAAACTTTTGTTACCAAAAAGAAATTATAACATCTTTGTTTTAGAAGATAGGAAAATGGTCTAGAGAGTAAATTCTTAGGTTTTGGTCAAGAGAAAGGCTAACTAATTGATCGTGTCTATCTATAAGTTTCTAAGTTAACTTGGATTTATGTCTTTAAAAAACCAATTTAAGAATCTTACACCCTACCATAATTAACAAAAACTTAAACTATACGGGGTCTATTTTTGATGAAAATATTACTACATTTACTGGCGTAAAAGTCAGTCGATATATATTTTTTGCATAATTAGTACATCATATCAAAATTAAAAATTAAATACAATTACTTTTTACATTGACAATTTATCTGTTAGAGGACATAATGACGAATAATTTTTGGGGTGTATATACATTTTTTGGCGAATTTTCACAAGTCGTAATATAGATCCATAGATGGAAAATCTGAGAAAAATGGTCAAAATAAACCCTACATGTGATATGAAACCATCTTCTTGAATCATTCTATTCATTGTTGGAAATCGTATTAAAATCCGTTGAATGGTTTTAAAGTTTAAAGATCTCAGAGTATAGACAGAGAAGTGACTACGTCACAATTTTTTTTACAGATTCCGAGGTAATGTACCACGAAATGGTGAAGCAAATCTGTCAAAAGTATGGAAAAAAATATAAGAAAGACTTACAAATTCGGGTATTACTGACACCTTGTTAGTTTTGATATTAACTTATTCGTTTGGTGTGAAGCAAACGGCTTTCTATATTTTAATTAGCTCATTCATTAGTATTAAAGATTTAATCATTTTGTATATGATATTGTTAGCCTATCGAAAATAAATTATTTATACGTTCTATTATAATTTATAAAGAGGTAAAGTTTCTAATTTTCTTTGTTAGTAGGAGGTAAGCTTCGGAAATATTGATCCGATCATGTCAATTCTTGCACCTATTTCAAATTTGATTATGAAGTAGGTACTTGATATATTTTGTAATCTATTGCCTATTATCAAAGTTAAAGTTACTGTTGTTTTAGGAAAGTCGGTGCTGTTGTGAATGTTTATGAATTTGTTTTCACTTCCTCAGATGTACGGAGTGACTGATAGAGAAATATGCACCACGGTTGTTAAGGAGCTCAAGATGCCTATATCAGCTGATGAGTTAGAGATGCAGCTCGGTGATCTTGCTAAGAAATTTTTGCCAGGCGCTCCATTACAAAAAGGTATGTGTCACACATATAATACAGCTATTTATCATACAAAAGTTGTTCGAATGTTTGACACAAAATTTAACGAAATAAATTATGTGACTAGATTGCCTGACTTTTGTCACAACCACACATAATTAATGCCTCAAGGCTGTGCATATTGGCGGTGATAAATAGTAATGCTCTTTTTTAATGTTTAATATCTCGAAACGTTATTTGTTTTTTGTTTTTATTTTAATAAATTTTGAATTAAAAGAGAAGCGTAGTCATTCAGCATTTTAATTTAAATAGACTAAAGAACAACACCAACAAAAATACGATAGGTACATTTCTCATAGTATGCTACGCATTCAAGAGGAAAGGGTGGCTGCCATCTACTTTATTCGGCCACTGACTGTATACTTATTTTTTTTCTGTGTCGTAGGTGCAGAAAGATTGCTGACTCATCTCTTTGACCACAAAATCCCCATGGCTTTAGCGACCAACTCTAGTGAGCAAGCAGTCAGGCTACACGCCACAGCTCGCCCCAAGCTCTTCGGAATGTTCCACCATAAGGTATAAATAAAGAGAAACATATAAAGCTTTTCTCAGACAGGTCAGTAGTAATAGTTGACAGGTGTTTGATGTGGTATTTTATTCACAATGTGGCATAAGTATCTGTATATTGTAGGTCTAGGCACTTTCTAGATCATCCTACTAGATCATTTATATATAATATCTAGATCATCCTACTGTCTAAGTTCATTCTAATACGTCATGAAACAAGAAAGTCAATTTCTTTTGACGAAACGGTTGACCAGTTTCTTAGCCTTGATTTTAAAAGAGTACTTAATAAGAAATAAGATAGGTACGTAGGTATGTTTAATTACGTTTGAATATTGCGCTTTTACCAGGCCAGGTGCACATTGTTTAAGGTTTGTGCCAATGATCCGGATGTGGATAGGGGTAAACCGAATCCGGATATATACTTGGTAGCGGCCGCCAGGTTTCCAGAGAAACCAAAACCCATACAGGTAAATAATAAAATTACACCCACACATCCATCCAGTTGATGGGTTTTAAAAATAAATCTTCGAAGTTTCCAACTACGAAGTTATTCCTCTTGCTAGGTAATATTTTTTCATCAGCATAACTACCTATTTTTATTTTGTTTCTGAAGTGTCTCGTATTTGAAGACTCGGCGTGTGGTGTGGCTGCTGCAAACGCTGCCGGAATGCAGGTACTACGTGGTTCAAAATATTTTTTTACCTTAACTAACATGAGAAAAGAATGCCTAAAGGGAAGTCCTGGGTATATGACGAATAAAACGTTGCAGTGTTGGGTGTTATTTACTGTTGGAAACAGAAAATAAATATTAGACAACCTCACATAAATTGCGTAGCTAATGCACTTAATTATGACAATCTGAAACAACAAATGCAATTCATTCCAGTGGCTTGCCTTACGGTGACTAAACAGTTCAGAAATTTAAGACGGTCTTTTGAAGTCTTCAGATTTTATTAACGAAATAAGTAGGGTAAGGTGGGCACAAACAATACCAAAAATAACTAGAAGTATTTTGCACATTTTTGAAATCTTTGGATTGTCACAGACTGCCCCGGATTCGGGGTACAATGTGACATACTATGGGGTATTTGTGACATTACTTATTCTAGGAAAACTTGTTTATAATCATAAGATTTATTGCACATTATACTTCTTTAAAATATTTTTAGGAGAAATATAAAATTCAGCTTGTTGTTTTGTAGGCTTTTTGCACTTTTGAAGCTTAGGTAAAACAATTTCTACATCTTCTATTCCAACTTCCACAAAATCTGGCTCAAGCGGGAAATAAAAACTGTTATCAACCTTATTGCTTTTATGTAAGTAGCTTACATCGTAAGAATCATCTTCATTGCTTTTCAAGAGTTGTGACATTGTCACATAGTGCCCAGTCACACTGTATCCCATAGGCTCAAAAAAACAAACAATCATAGAAAATAATTTGTAGGTTACGATACCGGCAAACTATCTACGCGTATTTATCTACAAGTACATGGCTTTTCAAGAAATAAAATAAAAATACATAATGAAATAATCATATTTATTTTTTAAATAACAACTAATTGTTACTATTTTTATATTTGGTGTCAGTAGGAAGTTTTAGTTTCCTATTTTAAAGAAAAAAAATTGAATAAAAAAACGGTGTTTTGCCTCGTCTTGCCCCATGGTGTTGGTAAGATGGGGTACATCCCTAAGGTATGAAAATGATCCCATAGAAAGTTTGATTTCTTAGGGCTGGCAGAACTCGCAGATGTGCATTATCTATTCCTGCGCAGCTATTATGAGACCATCTTCCACATACTGAGCATGATATCCACCCTTCAATGGAAACAGAATATACTTTCGAACAATACATACATGGCGTACTCCCCTCTTCTTCACTTTCATCTTCTGATGATCAGACACTTCGTCGTTTAGCTGTTCGGATATTTTTCAATATTTTTATTTTTTATTTCGAGCTTTTGTAATAGATTTCTTGTTTTTTTTAATCATTTTCATTTTTAAAGCTCTGGGTGCTGTTTTAAGAAGCCATTTATCCTCCCTCTACCAGCCTCATCTTTCTCAGAGTTGAATGGATTAGACTTATTATTTTTAATTGCTAACTGGTATACTAATGTTTTTAGATCTCTAACCGTAAGCCCATATAATCTTTCTTCCATTTCTAATAAATATGAATAAAGCTCAGCTTCTTCAGACAGAAAAAACAGGCCGCCTAGATGCCAATTGTACTTTAATTGGTATGGGTAAACTTTTATGGATTCTTCGGACCACGACCCCCTGTTAGTCGTGCGTTTGCGGTCACAAAGAAAACGATAGTAAGCATACAAAAAACAGACTCATTTTTACGGTAAACCAGCAAGAACATCATTTTTCTCAATGGGGGCATGAGGGGTATCCCGCTACCCTATCTTGCCTGCAGAGCCATTTTCTAGCAATAAAAACAAAAAAAAAACAGTCAACAATCTTAAGGAAACCCAATGCCTACCTTATTAAAGGATAGATTAAGCGTCAATCACAGCAACACTTCACTGGCTGGCGTAATTTAACAAACCATAGTCACGTGTCAAACCCGAAGAAAATATAATAAACAGTTTGGCGTAAAATACTTTTTTTCGATATGTGTACATTTGCAAACCATCAATCGCTTGGCGACTGTTAAATATCATGGCGGCGCATCGAATGATGAATAAACGAGTGTGATTAGTTAGTTTAAACTATGAATTTCGCTTGTTACCCCGTCTTACTCACTACCCCGTCTTACTCATTCTCCCCTATTTCCAGGTAGTAATGATTCCAGATCCTCGTCTCGACAGGGAGCTAACTCGCCACGCGACGCTAATTTTGAGAACATTGATGGACTTCGAACCTGAACTTTTCGGTCTACCGCGTTTCGAAAATAAACCAAATGAAAGACACGAAAAAACATCTGGGCTGGATGGGAAAAGTGATTTATGAATATTGTTGAGTTAATAGAGTGTTTGTCATTTCCAAATGATTTATAATGGGGTTCTGTGGTGAACTGAAAGTTCTAGGCAAACGCCTACTATACCCCGCTAGTAAGATAATATAAATTTTAAGTAGATAGTAACAGATGTTAAATGAAGAAAGTAAGAAAAACTGAAGCCAGCTAAAAAGTATTTGTTTTTTGGATTCACTTTTTTATAGCATAGACGAAGTTAATAAACAAGTACCTACTGATGGGATTAGAAAAGATAATCCGCTATTGATGGGATTAGATAAGTAAATCCGCTATTGATGGGATTAGATAAGATAATCCGCTATTGATGGGATTAGATTGAAAACCCATAACATAATCTAGTCCTGTGGCGACAGTGGGCAGCGGGTAGTCTGTCAGTAATTTATTCCACTTTCTTGTGTGGTAGGGTAGTAGGTAAATACTCGCAGGATATCAAGTTTCAACGTTTTATGAATTCATGCTAAAATGATAGGACGTAGTAAAATAATACATAGGAGTTTCGGGAATCGGGAACGTTAGTTCAACAGGGCTTAAACAAATATGTACCGCTCACTGAATTCTATCAGTAGATAGTAAACTTTCTCATTAATAAACACACTCGTACCAAACTACAACTCGGCAGGGTTTACATATTTCGCTTTCCCCGTGTAAACAATTCCTTATCCCGCTTTCGCAGAATTCCTGCCTACTATGTGAAAATGAACCTTAAGTGATGTAGGAAAATTTTAATTTATATCTTGTGCACCGTGTTAATAGTTAGATGATATTTGCTTGATATTAATTGTTAATTGTGAGTAAAGTAAAATCCAATTATATAATATACTCGTTTATTATTAAACCAAACCCATAATGTGTTACATACAGTGATGATTTCCTATATTATTCACTAAACTTATCTTATTATCATTCATATTCAACTAATTTAAAATACGAGGTATCTTTCACAAACGAAACAATAAAATGAACACATGTTTCAATATAGCGTGTAAATAAATTTATGAAAATAATTAGTTAACAAAAAAATAACACTATTATACACACATACACGCACACATACAATACACAATTTCGTTAAGTAGTGTTTTCAAAAAATAATGGGACTGTTTTGATTTTAGAGACCTGTTAAAAAGACTACTAAAAATACTTTTTCTTTCCTCAGTTTTTTTAAATATTTTTTCACTAGGTTTTTAATTTTTTTTCCGGATGGTTATACTAAAATTACATTTAAGTAAGTTTAGCTTATAATTGAAATATATAACATTTTGCCACATAATTTTAAGTAATAGTAGTATATACAACATGACAGACCAGAGGAATCAGCATTTCAACTTTATTTACACTCTGTATAATATGCGATGATGCTTACACAAGCATTCCAAACATTCTTTCCATTAAAATTATATACATATAAATGAGTTTTTTCGTTTAGCTTTCTTCTTTATCCATAATTAATAATAATGGAAAAATTATAAAACACAAGTTCATATAATTCTATCTAAACGTATAAATTTGTGTATAATAATATCAATTAAAATCGGTGACAAATTTACATAGCACTCAAAGAGAAGTGAAGACCGATATTTAAATATAGCTTCTAATTTAATTGTATAACGTTCTTATTCGTTTGGAATAAAATTAATGCTGGTAGTTGGGACGCTTCAAACATTCAATTTAGTATCATTGATAAAACTAGTAGCTCTACGCTAGTGGTTTCTCCGGCATAGTGTACATGATGACTGGATGGTACTTTTATCCATAGGGAACATCACTAGTACGGGAACAAGGGTGAATCTGGTATCCTACAAGGAGATCTCCTTAATCCCTAGAGAAATTTCGCATTTATAATATTCTATGATTTACCAGAATATAAGATTTCAATTAATATGAAACAGATAAAAGTTTGAACGGAACCTTAGTTATTGTTTTCTATACAATTTCGTACATTACAATGAGGTAATAAAGATCATATTCATTTAATTTCAACTGAAATATAAATAAAATTATTATTATTATTTATCTCAGGTATATAGAGGCAAGCTTATCTATCACCAACAACACTTTTAAATCTAAAACACACATAGGATTTAATTATGGCTATGGCTATGACTTAAAAGTTAAATATAAAATGCAACTCAGGTGTTTGGAACCTAAAAGCTTTAAAAGTTGAAGCCTCCTAAGCGGCAATTTCTGTCTTATTAAAAATTTTAAAAATAATTTTGAGTTTTATCAAAAGTGCTTTGAAATATTTTTTGTAATAAAAAGTTTATTTTGATATTTATTTTACCTAAACAACTGAGCTGCATACAATAAGTTAGTATTAATAAATTTGCGCAATTTTTTTCAGCATATGATTAAAAAATACTATCGCAGACATATCAACAGTCAATAAAACGTATTTTTTATATCGTACAAGTAAGGGTTGGTGCACATCTGACGGAAGTTGCGTCGCGTATCATCATCGCTCGTGTATCACGAGAACATATGAATCTATAATAAAACGTTCAACCTTGCATGTTTAACTAACGTATAATTCTCTTGGTACGGTCGACGCATCTTTCCTTTGATATACAACAATCCTAAAACATTAACAATAATGGTTATCCAATTTGGGTTATAACACACATACTAAGGATGTGACTGCAGTGTTTAATATCGACGGATTACCTTTTGTATTTTACACATTATGTACGTGACGATCTTTCCTTATGGGATATTTTTCCTTTAAACGTCTAAACCGCATGCATATCGGCTTTTCAATATAAAGCGCACAATGCTGATCGCATGTTCTTTTGTCGTGTTGTGGTCAAATTAACACGCCAAAAATAAAAGAAGAAAGAAGAATTCGAATCAAGCATACAGTGTTTGATGAAGTTTAAATAATTTTCCCCTTCAAAGAGGAAAGTATGACTATATATGTCTATGTCTTAATAGAAAATGTATCTATTTAACCATACATATTATTATTAATGCTAGGGAATTGTGTTTTGTAAAATTTGCCAGGAAGTAATTGCTTTTTAGCAATAAGGCCGCCAATTGTACTGTCTGTTATATTATTGTTTTTTTTTTCATTTACTACATAATGGTGTGTAAAATAAAGTCTTTCATTCATTCGAGTCGTCAATAAAAAAAAATTGTGTTCGACACGGATTCCATTTGCACTCAGTAAATTGTCGTGTTAATTATAACTGCCACGCTCTTAGTTCAATCAGGCTTTGAGCAGTGCGGAACGAGTGAAAGTTAGGTCCGGTGATCGCTGGTAAGAGGGAAAGACATACTCACATGATAGAAATAAGTCCCTATCAAGAATTATCTGGTTAATCTGGTAATCACTCAAGCCAACATCCTCAATGTTATAAAGCAAACGCCAACCAATAGCTTCGAATTTTTAACAAAATAAGAGCCGTTGATAATAAACGAATTAACATTAGCACCAATAATAACTAAAAAATATATCTGGCGTTCATATTTTTCAATCGTATGACAGTTTTTAGAGCCCATTCCCACGAAACTGTTAACACGCTCAAATCGCTGATCGGAGCTGAAATATAAATATGGGTTTAACTCAAGGCAGTCCTAGCAGTATATCCAGCTTAAGTTAGTGTCGTGAAAACGGGATCTTAGGATTATTCCATTTTTTTTTTAATAGTATTTATTCTTCAGTCTCTTAAGACAATTGTTGAGTAGGCACTTAGCATCCTCTAAGCTGCTATTTCTTCGTAGTGTCACAGTGATAAGATCTGTTTCACCACTTCTCATATGCCAACACGTTGATGTGCCAATCTTTAATCAATCCAAGCGCATTAATGCAAACCATCTCTCGACATTCCGTTGCAAATTATTGGAATAATTCAAGTAGAGTAACAATCAGTATCGCGGAATATATCTCACACATTTCCGCCTGTAAACATTAAAGGTCGATTCACATAACGATCACAAATAGACTGCGCAGACAACTCGCTGTCGTGTGGACCGATCGATCATCAGTATTACTATCCCTGCATGTAAGATGGAAGATACATGAAAGTATTTATGACGATTACTAGTAATTATTTACTAGTTGACTAGTAGAATGAATATAGAAAGGACGGCTTAAAAATATGCATAACTTCAAAACATTCGTACAGAACAAATCCTATTCTATTCACATCTCTACACAGATTTAAGCAAATTGATCGAAGCATTGCCAGCTGCGAACTAACCACTTAAATAATTGTAGGACTTAATGATAAGGCTTCGTCAAATAATGACACGACATATTTAAGTTCCGGGTGTTCCGTGGATGCGTATTGCTATGACGTAAGCTCGCGTTTTCTATAGCGAGTTTTTAGTGCGAATAATAAAACCTACAAGTAGGTATCAGTTTATTTTATTGAATACTGGTCATCTCATTTTTATGGACTTCTTGTTTCAAACATTAAACGTCAATAATCAACATTGTAGCGAAAACAGAAATAAATATTACCGAATATTGGGCTGTGTAGGCTAGATTTCTTTGCTTTCAATCAAAATCATGTTCTTTCTATCATCCTACCTCATTAAGAATAAAATATGGAAAATATCATAAATTGATGTTCATAAATATTTAATTGTACACGCTAACCTTAGCTTGGTGCGTCATGCCTCACTCGTTTTCTAACGTGGCCATTATATGTAACTGATCACTAGTATTATAACCAAAATAATGTTACATGACTGTTGTAACCTAAAAAAAAACACAAACAAAGATAGTGCTACTAAAATATATAAATTTTCCAGTTAGATAAAGAGCAGAAACAATAATTATTCAATAATTAACTAGTAAGCTTAGCAGAACATGACTCGTTTTCTTTTTTGTTGTAGGAATTGTAACGACAAAGACCTTTTTCATCAATATATATATTTTTATATAACCCTTATTTCGTATACAATAAGCACTAAATTTGATTGCACGTATTACATATCATTTATTATATATAACCTTTAAACATCGGGTTGTTATTGAAATCATAATCGTTGTTAAGAAATATCTAAGATTACACATAATCAAAGATAAAATAGAAGGTTCTTATTTTTCTATATCAGCTCAACACAAAAAAGACGCAAGAGTTATGTCCGCTTCTTTAATGTGACAGTTCACAAAAAAAGTTTTTTTTTTAATAAAAAAAAATCACACAGCACAGTATGCGATAATAAGACTGCCACTCAAATTTATGTCTTAAAAGTATAGTATATATAGCAGAATGTAGCGTTAAATCCAGTTTGGGTTGTCGATAGTTCGATAGGTATATATAATATTTGAGAGATTGTCTTCTATTCTAACTTTTGCTTTCATCTTAAATATTTAATGACTTAAGATTTATTACATTGGAATATTGTAGTTAAAATAGAGCTGTCTTTCTATGCACTAGCATTAAAAATATTTTGTTAAAAGGAGATTCTACGTTTGTATGCATTTTAATTATCTGTATATGTGAGACGCGAACATTGAAGCGACCTCTCTGAGTCGATACAGCCAACAATAATAGATGTAAAATTGTAAAAAAAAAACATGGAAATATATTTGTATAATTAAAAATGATGTATCACAGATGTGTAGTGAGGTCCTAATTGCACTTTGATTTATAAAGAGTGGTTTTAAAGTCATCTCCCAACTCTGTTACAAGACAAAGAGGTATGAAACCAAAGATTCCAAACAGCACCAATTTCTAGGAAATAAAAACTTTTTTGAGATACATTTTTTGCATTGCTATGGTAATAAACCAATTTTTATAAATGGTAAACCTGTTTTAAAATTTGTTTTCAGCTTTCTAGTGATAAACATATTTTGTGATATGTTGTTGCAAGTTTGATATCTATAAGTTGTCTGCTCTCTGGTAAATCCTTCGCAAGATACATTATCAGCTTTCTAATAGTTTCAAGTTCATAGAAATCGTTACCGTTTTTATTACTCATGTTTGTTTTAGAGCCACTCTGTCATTTTAAGGATGAAACAAGAGTTGTGTGTGCCTTTAGGAGAAGTGAAAGACTGTTTTCAACCAATTAAGAAGGAAAAACACCATTAATATTAATTTAACACTTTCAAAAGCGTAAGATTCCGGATTTTTCTAATATAATTTTTTGCGTTTTATTTTATTTGCAAGTTAATAAGTGATATTTTCCAAAGAAAGGAATGTTATACAACTGCTTATTAAATAAAATAACTATGGTAATTAGTTGGTAACAGTCTATAATTTGTGAAATCAGTGGAAGATTCTGATCATTGTGAATTTATTGTGATGTATTTTGTTTTAATTGAGAAAATAACAGATGTAATGACTAAAGCAGTTACAATAAATTACTGCAGTTTATTTTCCAAAAGACTCACAAATGATTTTGATGATGTATCCACAATAACCTACACATGGAGACCAGAATCTAAGTATACAATCACAGAGATTTTTATCATATTTATATCAAGTGTTGTCAAGTATTAGACAGCGCCTCGCTTTTCAATATAGACGTAAAGTCAGTTTGTTGGTCATTAACGCGAACAATTTTTAATGAATTATCATTCAACAAAGATTTATCGTCCATCTCCGTTTTGTTAACAAAACCGTTACATTTGAGAATGTTCATTTTGTCTTTGTCTTTATCGTTATTTTCGATTTCGTTTGCAACATCACTAATAACTCTAGTGTCATTGTTAGATATTTCATTACCGTTACTATCATTTATATGTTTCTGCTCTGTATCATCAACTTGAACAATATTATCACTAACTGAATCGTTATTTGTAACCAAGTTTTCTTCTCGTTTTAAAGTATCCGCCTCACTCTTTTGCTGTTCTTCCTTTTTCATTCTTTCTTCGTCTTCTCTAGCTTTCTTATCTGCTAATTCCTTTCTTTTCAGAGCGTTCCACCAAGGCATGAACCGTTGAAACATGATTCTTGCTCGATGTCTAGGGTGCAATACCCAAGATACAGCCATATCTACGTCTGCGATTCTAAAACAAAGGAGAAACTATTAACACAATATAAATACATCGAATTTATGGGACCATGGTCATGAAGAATGATGATAAAAATCTAGATAAGTTTAACATTAGGCAAACATGAGTAAATAATAAGGTTGGCTTAATGTATAATATTGCTATTAGAATTTTTAAGTTTTGTTTTTTTTTTAAACATATTTTGGTCTATAAATTGTATTATTTACTTTTATTTTAGGATACCTGTTGGTACAAGCGGCTAGGGCATGCAATCTCATTTATTCTAAGAACGCAAACGCATTTATTCTAAGTGCGGCAGCGCGAATTTATGCAAGTCTGGGGGTTAAAAGGCGAGACTTTTAAAGTACTTATGTTTTAGAAAGGGTCTTCTTAGTGGCTGGTTATCTGGTCAGCACAATAAGAATTCTTAATAAGCTACTTTCAAAATCATTAGTATGAAGTGAACTGAATAAGCCATTAAATTGATTGGTATATTTTTTATGTTATTCTCTTATTTCTAATAGATATCTGGGTACACATAGTATTCTAACATTGATAATAATCTCAGCTTAATAGTCAATTCAACTTATTAATGAGTTTTATTTTAGTTTCTGTATTTTTGTTATAAAAAATTGTGTATAAAAGTGTATGTTTAATTATATTAAACTTTTGTTTGATATTAGCAGAGAATACTGGTTGTTTATTTCATTACGTATTTGATTAAATACATCAAAGTTGAATTTCTTAAAAGATTAGCACCTGGATGACTAAGCTTAACTCGGCATTTTTATACAATAAAAAAAATTAAACCTAACTAAATCGATTTATCGCCTCTGAAAGGCTCTGCATACTTCATGTCATGAAAATTGTTGGAGCCGTTTGCGTCAAACAATGTTAAGTACATAATAAAACTTTATTGAATATACCCGTAAATTAAATGTTTATTTAATAATACCTATAATTCCTACATTTATTTCCAATTTATTCAAATATTGTGATTTGAATAAATATTATAATAAAATAAATATTACATAAAGTGATTTCAATAAATATTACAGTAAACATACAAAAGATCTCGCGAGATTGCATTCCCTACAAGCAGCGTCAGATAAATAGCAACGTCTAAATTAGCCAAAATCATTTGTCATTGTCAATAGTTATAAGGAAAAAATATAACATTTTTTATTAGGGGTTAAAAACTTATATTTAATAGTAAAGTATTGTAATATCAATTTTAACAAGTAAGGCTCGTCTGATGAGTCCTGGACACTTCGCAAAGTTTCGGGTGAGTTCGGCCACTCTAGAAATTTCGATCTATTTGGCTATCATGACTACGAACCTCCGCTTGAATCTGTCTCTGTCTAATGCACAGCGTTCCCAATGACCGGCTCTCGCTTGTCGAGCCGCGAATGCCCACACTCGCATCACGTGCACTTTGGGAGGGTCGGTGGAAAAGCGTACCTGGAAGGAAAAACGTTTTGGTTAGCAATGAGGATTCTAATAGATAGCACTAATGCCCTAATTTGATTTTCTTTTTATTAATAAAAAGAAAAAACGCATACATTTGTGTTGATATGTTAAGCGTTAATACTTTTTGATGTATTTAGTTTACTTTAAAATTTTGACTTTTGGGTATAACGTAGAAATGAAATGAGTAAAATTTTATCAATAGGTTTTCGTTCTGTAAATAAAATATATGTTATACATTGTTACAAAAATAACTCTATCTATTAGGGGAAAAACGAACGAATCAAATATGAAAACTTGCATCTATTAGCAACAACACTGATAGAAGCGACAAGATAAGTATAAATATAATTAATAAGACAAGGAGCATTGTCTTCAACCATAAAGTCAGTTATTGTAAACAATAAAAGATTCCGTCTTTGTAGACAAAGAAAGATATGCATATAACATCATAAGATTGAGTGTGTTGTCTATTGTGACGGAACAATGTATCGACGTTATGGATCTGATATTAAAATTAACTACACCACTTCAAATATAAAATAATTTTATCGTAAAGGGATTAAGGTGTATGAGATAACAAACATTCGTCCATGAACCACGACCCAACCTAATCGAACCATCTATTACTCGGGCCATTACACGAGTATCAGCGTCCGAGAGTATGTCGCAAATGCTATGAAGTCATAGCCATCACATGAAAGCGACCATATTCCCAACGCCGCGCTCTGGTTCCAACGGCCAAGCTATGAAATCATATCCACCATATCTCGCGCATAGGCATCATATATCAAGTGCATAATGGCACATAATACCTACGTGCCAACTCTTTCTACCTTTTTCCTCTAATTACCTTTTCTTTCCTTTCGATTAACCACCCTCCTTGCTCCTTGTCCAGCAATAACACTAGCTTCCTTGGTTTCAACTCGAGGTTTCCAACGAAGGGATTTTATTTTATTTTATTTATACTACGTTGGGGACCTTCAAATTTTTGCAATCATACCTATATGCAACATGTATATCTTAAAAACATACCCTATATTATAGAAACTAACATAACGCCCCCATTTACGAGCAATTAACACAGAACAAAAATTTAACAAAATGACAATAAAGCAGTCTTGGCACTACTTTCGAGGAACATTTGAACATGAAGTTATTTGTCAAATAGATGGTTCTTAGACACCTGTGCTACATTTAGGGCTCAATACTGTTTTATAGAATAACATATAAATATTTAATTCATTGATATATTTAATGATAGCTTTACAGTTTTCAAAGATAAAGTGCTGAAGCATATTGGACAGTAATCGGTGTATGTACATGTGATAATTTTAATGTTTTATTATATTTTAATTTTAATGATAGTATTTTGTATTTTTAAGTAGCTTAACCTAATTCTTAACTATGTTGTGTAATTACAAAATAGCAGTTATTGGCTGTCATGTAGGTCCTGTACAATTATTCACGTATGTAAAAAATATATAGCTGTTGGTGTACCTTAAATAAATAGATAAATAAACATACAGTACTAGACATTGGCAGAATTGTTATTACAATAGGAGGCTAAATAATAGTATAAATACTACCCTTATCTAAGAAGATTCTGAATTTTTCCAATTGAATACTGAAGTCCTGAATACGGTTTACGATAATAGGAGATGAGTACATTTTATTAATATAGATAATACACTCATCACACGTATCTCGGAATCGTCTTTGGATGAATGCCCACGTAATCTCATGAGTCATGACGGTGTGTGACGTCACTGTTTACGTCACTTTTATTGAATATTACTAACGCTAAAACAATAACATTGGCAATGATCCTATCATTATGCATGGCTTTATATGGTTTTTTTCATAATAACCAATAGATGAGGCTTGTCCATTGACAATAAACCACCATAGGTTCCTTCTTTGTGACAGCTCGAACTGCTCGTTTAAATAGGTTCTAATTACAAAGAAGGGAATAATGTGTCTACACCGATAGACAAGCCTTGTCAATTTGTGGTTGCTAATTATCATAGATGCAGTCGGGACTAATTGAATGGTTTTAAGAAAAAATATTGGTCAACCACCCTATGAACGGCCTTTGCGAAAGTTGTTTAACCTCCGCAATCGGAGGTGACTTAACGCACCAACCAGTTCACTGTCAAGCTACACAAACAAGACTTGTAAGTACGATTTTATTTACGACTACACAATCCATCGTGTGACTTTCATAGTGACTGTCGGAGGCACTCGAACGTAAAACGGAACGGCTTAATAGTAAACTAGTACAACGTGGTTAAAATGGAACAGGTCATAATATGGACGCCGAATGAAAACAAATACAGATAAGTGCCTTATTGTGAATGTCAAAACTGATATAATTTGAGTTTAAACAGCAGGTGGAGTCTAGTGTTCTGTTGTTTTCCTGATAAGGTAATAACTTAAACAGAATATTTTGATAGTATGAAAATAAATAAAAATGAATTTCCGTTCGTTAGTCTCGTTAAAACTCGAGAACTGCTGAACCGATTTGACAAATTTTAGTCTTGAAATATTCGTGGAAGTCCAGGGAAGGTTTAAACGATGCGAAAATATAACAGAATTGCGAGTATAATACTAAAAACGATAATTTGATTTTCCCATACAAACTGTTCTTAGCTGTCAAACGTTCAGTTGACGATCAATATTTATGGTCGTGTAGTGGTCACTTTACGCAATATTTTTCAATATTAATATGATTTTTATTAAGAGGTAAGAGATACGAAGTTCACCGGGTCAGCTAGTATAAAATAAATAAATGCTAAAAAAAATAAGATTTTTTCAACGTCTAAAACCGGATGAAACAACATCAACAGGAACGAAAATGGACAGATTTGAAGTGATAAATCATTTTCACGTTGACGTTATGAAGTATTTAAACATTTTAGCAAAGGCGTTTTTGTTTTAGGAACAACAAAACTATTCAAAATAAAGTTGACGTTACCTTTGTATCTTATGGTTATACAATATACAGATTTTATCATGGAAACTTTCAAATTGATGATCAGTTTGATTGGACATAAAGTTAGCCTTATCAAAGTGTTATCTTTTGTAGCAACAATATATTGTAGTTTTATATAAAACGGAAGATATCTGGATCTTTATAATATTAGTAGGTAATTTTACAAAGCCTAAAATGAAAAATAAACTGCGACTTTTTCAAACAAGTGCGAAACAGTCTAGTCATGGTCTAGCCGTTAGGTCATAACATATCACTTAAATATATCAAAATTCAGTAGGTAAAGAATTTAACAAAAAAATAAACTTGAATTCCTGAGAAATCTTTAGCATTTTTTTGGGTCCTTGTTGTTACTAAAGATTCATATTCACAGAATGATCACTTTGGTAATGGTTGGTTATGGAAGACCAAATAGAAACCAAGCAAGTGAATATTTGTTGTAATGAGTCTTTAGTTACAACAAGGACCCAAAACAGAATTGCCAAAGATTTTATAAGAACCACAGATAAAGCAGCATGCGGACATAATGCTAACGGTTTAAGTTGATCTAAACAAAAATCAAAGCCTATAAGGATCTTAAACTTCGAAACTTGAGAAGAACATCAAGAATCTCAGTAAAACTCCTTTTATGCCTTTGATATTTCATCAATCAAACTAAAACAAAAGAATGCAAAGACTACATACAAAAGACATAAAAACTTATTATTTGTTGTAATAAAATGTAGGAATAGGAGATTAATTATGGCAAAAACGATGCCGACTCGGTAAAGTTGGCCGTAACCCAGGAAATAAAAAAAAAATCTTTAGATTTCAATGAAGCTTCTGAACACGTAGTATTTACAATAGTTGCAGAAGTTTCTGTTGCTGATCTATCACTGTCATTTATATAGACACAAATGATATTTAAAAGTTGTTTTGATACAATTAAATGTGGAAATTCTGGATGTATTTAATTATTATAAATATATAAAAAACATGAAGTTTGAAGAAGTTTGTTACAATAATGTAGTACAAAACAGTTGACGCATATAAGCAGAATATCAAGCATGACATAATATTATGTTTAACGATTTTGAAACACAAAACCTAGGAAAATAATCTAAGTTTTGATGTCTTAAACACAAGTTTATCAAATGGTTTCGTGACACAGTTTTTGCAATAAAGTAAAAGACACCTAACCATTATCATATTTATTTTAGCGTTTTGACAAATGCTGCCCAACGTAAATATACCACGCAGACGAAGTCGCGGGCATAAGTTAATCTAGAATTAATATCACCACCAACATTAATATCCAGTGGACATACCGGATCGAATTAAGTCGATTTCATTCGATTTGTTTGAGATCACATCGGATTGAATTAAAATGAAATCAACATTCTGTAAAATAAAATACGATTTTCAACTGACTTCAAATATAAAAAGGAGAATGTAATATGTTAGACAGTAGACTACAATACACGATATATTTTAATTCTGAAAAGGGTTCGATAAAAAGGTCATCGAAATCGGAATACTTTCACGACTAATTATGATATCGAAGTAAACCAAACCACATAATCGTACATTTAGTTTAATTTTTTTTATTATGTACCTACAATATAATCACTGACCAGCAACCGCATTACATCACAAGATTTACCAACACACGATAAGGTATTTACCTCATTTAAATGTTAAGCAGATAAAACGTATCTATGATGACGACAAAACTTAAATTTTGCATTGCGTATACGAACGTCGGGTTAGTCACGTAATCTAATGGCCAATTCAAGAACAAATTATTTCTCAGGCAAATTCTCAGGCAGGCAGTGTCCAAATAAAGATATAAATACTCGAAGCGTATATTTCCATTTGACAAATACTTTTGATCGTATTGAAATTGTATAACTACATAAACGTCATTAAACCTCACTTTAATGATGCCAAATTGACGGTCAGTTGCACAAACGTCCATTAAGGTTACACGACTCCTTCTCTCTAATGACTGTCAAATTTGTAT